TTTTTGGCGTGACATTTTGTCGGCCTCCTTTCCCAACCAGTAAGTGCAAGCACCTTATTCCTCCTTTTTCGTATTGCAGATCAAAGGACCTAGTTAAGGATTTCTACTTGGCTCCTTTCGCATGCGCAGAAGTTGGCTTTCTGTACCTAGAGGAGGGAGATCTGGATCAAGCCAAAGAATACCTCAATAAAACAAGGTATGAAAAAGCAAGTCGATTTTTCTAAGTGATGGTAAATTTTCAGAACAGAAAGCAAGGCAGAACTCAGAGAAGACGTGCAACCGATGTTCTAGAAAAGCTGTCTAGTGCGTTAACATTAGCAAGTGTTGTTAAGCAGCGTTGAATATCCAACATACCTGCAAGTGCAAGTAAAGCGCGGGAAAAAGTGTCACTGGTGTTAAGTGCGGGAAAACGTGCAACCGGTGATAAACGTGGCTCGGTGTTGCCGTGTTTAAGCGCGGGAAAAATGCAAGAGCTTCTAGGTTTGGAGCGTGGCAAAGGATCAAAGCAGTTCAGTTCTTAACTTTTATCCTTAAGAAAATCTGTTCATACTGTTTTCTCTCACATAAATCTGTATGCATGTAGGACGCTTGCTATTGGCCTCTGTTAAATGAGCTAAACTCCGATAGGTGCGAGTGCTTGAGTGGGGTTCCAATTGAATGATGTCAATTTTAAGCTATGTGTATTTAAACTGATGGCTGAGGGACTCAACACGTGGTGCATTGATACTGCTCTCCTGGAGTACACTGTGCATGGTATGAAGTATGAGATCCCAATGGGATGATATCAGTATCCAAGCAACTGCGCACCTACCCCTCCCCTAACCCAGCATTAACCCTAACTTTTTATCAGTTGACTGTTGCTAGGTTACAGAAGGGGTAGGTGTGCAGTTGCCCTGTGCCCTGTGAGAATCATACCTCATACCATATATGGTGTGCACTTGGAGAGAATACTGACATTGATCCGCTAGTTTTTATACCCCAGCGTTCCTCACAAAATCTTTGAGAACGTACTTTTTGAACCGACAGGAAAGACTACGAAAACCATTTGTTACAAAGCAGACTTCACTTCAGAATCCACTCAGCGCTTCAAGAAATCAAACACAGACGCAAGCAGGCGAAAGAAGCAGCTAAAATGGAAAAAAAGCAATCCAAACGCTCCAAGAATGGTGTCACTAACAATAATTCCTCAATAGACGAGGATTCTATCAGCATCTCTCTCGGTGGATCCGAGAGTCTCTCGCGCCAGGACTCCAACTCGTCCTTTGAGACAGCTCCTGAATATTCATCGGAAGATGACAGGGACCTGGGAGACATGGAACGGGATAGCAGTCCTAAAGAGAATGTTGTTTTGGAAACCACAGTGTGAAAATTTTCCGTCTCTTTAAGTTATTTAAATTTCCTTTAGTATCTTTTACGTGGTGTTACAGGATGATAAAAAAGCCTCGGTAATAAATTTATTAGTTGTTAAAAAACCTAGATAGAGCCATGCCAAGTCCACTCCAATGAAGCCAATGAAGTGATATTTTGTTTTCTAAAGGTGTTATTTCTATTTTTTTTGTTTTTTTTGTTTTTTTGTTTTTGTTTGTTTCCCTTCACCAGAGCTTCATTTTCGTGGACATGAACGGAGTCTACTTCCCTAATTTTATATACGTTTTTTTTTTCTAAAAAGGCTGTATTTTTTTTCTGTGTATGTTAGTGTTAAGTGAGGAAAGCCGTTTCTTCGACAAGCCGAGTTGATTATTACATTAGGCACAGCATTTTGTTTACTTTGGGGGTTAGGGGTAGCCTCTGTAGCGAGTAAAAAATAAGTAATTTTTTGTGACTCGTGATCTTCACGAGCGCTTTTAACAAAATGAGTTTGTCAGGGGAGGCGGGGCTCGGGTTGATAATTTGAAGGAATGTGTCAACGGATCTTCACGAGAAGCTAATAGAGGAAAGCTCAATCCGAAGAGTAAAATATCCCTGCAAAGATCATCTCGCGTGGCGTTATATTATCGAGATATGACTCGGTCTTCGGCCAATGAGATCGTTTGCATCAGTTTCTATAATCACTTGAGCAATGATCTCGCTCTTTTAATGTCAATTTACAAAGGGAAGTAGTTTGGTGTGTATAATTTCCCTCAGAAGTCTAAAGTTAACCTCCTCAAATAGTTGGGAATTTGAACGAATTATAGATTTTATTTATTCTGTCCGTTCTTATATTGCGTTGCTTCTAACCGAAATGTTCATTTTAAATTTATTTATTTTTAAGCCAGAGATATTCTAAATTAACAACAAGAAAAATAAAACTCTATCTGTACATACGTCGCGTGAAGCGAAATTGTGTTATTACAATCACCCACTGTGGTGAAATCAGAAAAGCTTTAATCTTTCATCGAGCAGTTTTTTAGTCAGTTACGTTATATTTTTGTGTGCATGCAGACTTATTTTCCACCAAGTAATTTTTAAGATTTTAGGGTTAAAATGGATGCTTCGAGATGAAGAAATTTCTGATTTTTCCAACGCGCGCAGCGGAAAATAATAGCAAAGGAACTGTGGATTAACTTACTTTACATCGTTCTTAGAAAGTTTTAGATCTGGCTTATTTAGATAGGAGAAGTTTGTATCACATTTGCTTAGAGTTTATAGGAATAAAAAGAAAAAGCTCTCTTCTTGTTATAACGTATCCACTTATTTCACCGGACTTTTATTGGTTCGACAGAGAATGGTGGTGGCTAACGCCTTTCATCCTAAATAAACGGTCTATTTTGTTACAAAATTCTTAAGTTACAGTGATCGATATGCCGCTGATCCGAAATAAAATGCAAACAGAGACGTTTATTTAGACCGATGGAATACTGTTTCCTCGAATTCAATATTAAAAGCGCACAAAATCAGTGATGCTATAGAGCACGAGCAGTAGTTGACTCCTTCTTCCCAGCTTCATCTATGTTGTGCGGCACTGAAATCAAACGAAGTTGATATCTCGGTGTTTCCCAGAGTTCACGCGGAGCAGGGATATCTTTCCGCAGACGTCTATTATATGAGTCGCTTCACACACTTTTCGTATGACAACAATACAACGGTGGAATCACGATACTTACACAACCAACATCAAATTGATTGATCAAAACGAGTCATTAGCGCTGTCCACTAACGAAAACGACTGCTTTATAGAGCTTATTGCATATATTTTAAGAAAGTGTGGACAAAAGGATTGGAAAGTTACGAACTTATGAAAATTAGGTACCAACTCGGATACTAAATGGATATCAAATGCATCTGACGTTTGAGAAAGTGCGATACATGGACCTTAGGTTTGGTTGAAAAGAACGTTGAACATGTATGTTAATGCCGTACTCAGCACTTCTATAGAGCGAAGTTTTCACTCTTAACCGTCTTTTCTTGTAGTTTTGGTTTTTTTTTTTTTTGCTCTTTCGAGTCTTTCTACCTTTCGAATCTGATACTATGTAGATTCCTTAAAAAAGATTCCTTTTGCAGTCTCAGCAAAAAATTGCGACAGAACTTGGTTCACACGGCTGTCAACTAATCCTTCAGGTGTGAGCATTGGGACGAGACAAGTCTACACAGAGAGAAAACTGGGCACTAGTAAATAAACAAAGATTACGAAATACGCCGTCGCAGACAAGAGAAATAATTAAGTTTTAAGTTGTTTTTAAAAAGTTATCTGTGCTTTCTCCTCGCAAAATTGAGAATTAATCAAGTAGAGGATGGACGGAACCGTGGTGGATCAGTCAAGGTTAGTCTAGTTTGTACAGTTTAAGTTAAAATTTTGGAAAATTTCACGTGTCCGTTCAAATCCTTCCAAGTACCGGCTGACCTCGAGCTCTAAGTAAGCCTATTGACTGTTCTTGGTTAAATACGTTGAACATAACGGGTTTGTACACCTTTGATTTCAAATTCATATGAATATAAACTTGTTTTCTATAGTTACCTTAAGCTTTGCGCGATAAGCACATTACAGGTAAATCAGTTGCTGGTACGTTTCATGTTGTGTAAACAAAGCCGATAACCTCCGAAGAAAGTGCTGTGGTGTCCAACGTTGGATAGTGATTAACTTCCTTTAATCGGAAGTGCCCGCAATAGTCGATCTGTATCAAGTCTTTTACCACACCAAGTCATCACTGATTTCAATTTTTAGAAAGTTGTCGCGCTGTGTAGAGTGTCCGGATCAATTCCTTAAGATTTAAGTAATTTATACGTTTATCGGACGAATGTACGGCATAAAATTAACCTTCGATCTAC